GAGGAAAAGAGTATTTAAGAAAGGACAAAAACATTGCACAGGCAGAGCAGGAGGGGAAAAGAAGTGTGCAGCAGCCATTCGAACACCAAGGTGAGAGCACGAGGGTGAAGAGGTGCCGCAGGTGCCGGAGCAGACATTCCCGGCAGCCCCAGGAGGAGCCCACACCAGAGCAGGCAGGTATTTCCCGACAGGAACTGCAGCCCATGGAGCTGGAGCAGGTTTATCTCAAAGGACTGCAGCCCATGGAGAGGACCCTTGCTGAAGCGGAAGGACTGCAAGAAGAAGGAGCAGCAGAGGAGCTGCTATGGACTGACCACGACCCCCATTCCCCAGCGCTGCTGCAGGGCGGAGGTAGGGGAGTCGGGAATGAAGGTGTGAAGTTGAGCCTGGGAAGAAGAGGGGGGGGGAGAGTGGCATTTTACATTTTTTTGCCTTTGTTTCTCGCTATGCAAATCTATTTTATTTGGCAATAAATTAAAGTCAAGTCTCTCTTGCCCATGATGGTAACTGGAAAGCAGTCTCCCCATCTTTATCTCAACCCAGGAGCTTTCTATTTTCTCCCCCATCCAGCTGAGGGGGAGTGAGTGAAGCGCTGGGTGGGCATCCCACCACCATCAGTTATCTACAGACTAGGTCATCAGATACAGGAGGCCTTGTGGAGTGGGCAGCTCTGCTAAAAAATATTAGCAGGCTGGAATAAGTATCAACCAACTGCAAGATACAGAAAAAAGCCACAGCCCCAACCAACTCCCTTTCAAACGTGAACTTGCAAACTTCACATTTTTGAGAATAGGTTCTGGTACATTTTACTTCTCTAGCTCCCAAAAAAGTATGCATTCTCAAACTTCCAAAGACCTTTAAAGTCTTGTCACAACAGGGCAAACAGCCATCCCAAATCCTTGTGAGAACATCTTCTAATGAATTTCAACAACACAGAAGCAACAAAAAAGATTTCTGTGATGGGGGCCCTCTGCTTGTGTTGAGTTCCCTTAGGGGGCAAGATGTCATTTGATTACTACACCCTTACAAGTTTTATATTACATATATTATATTGCAATACAGCAATGCATGCATACTCATGCACAAAGAATTCGTGAATAAAAACTATAATCCTTGATTGGCCTTATTATTCTAAGTTGTCATAAATATTTAAAGAGATGGCTTCCTAAAATAGTACATTATTTGCCATACAGAGGCTATAATAGGAGAATGTTAAAGATGAGAATCCTGTATTTCAAATTTATATTTGTATTCTGTTAAATGGTACAAATGTGAGAAGTAACTGTCACAGGAATGGTTATCATGCTAAAAAGAGTTTGAGAGCTACTTATGTGAAGACAAGAGCCACTGACAATATGACAAAAAGCCCAGTATCTTGATGAGATTAAGATTTGTCATGTATTCTGTCCTCTACCTCTTCCCAATGTTTTCTCACTTGTTTTTTCCCCCCAATTCAATAAACTAAACTACAGCTGTTGTAGGAGGCTTTTATTTTGCACAAAACCAGTGAAAATACGGTTTACACTGAAAGCCAAAGCTGAGGCAAGTCACATTTTTTGTTGTTGTTATTTGCTAGCTGTTGTAGGTGGGATCCACTCTTGTATCTTCTTGCGAGTAGTAGAGTAAGGTACGTACTGTCCGGGAGTGCCACTCAGATTGAATTTATGGTTCTCCCAGATAAATTTACGAGCAACTGGTGGATGAGTAGTTGGAGGGTCATCCGTCATTGAGTGAAGCCAGCGATGCCTGAAGAGGAGAAAGACACATTGTTATTAAGGAACATTACATGATCTGTAACAAGCCTTCCTCCTGACTCCCAAGGGTTCTCCTCTGAAGAGACACTAAGTATTTTGAGAGGGGAGAAAAAAAACATTTTAATCCAGGATGACTTTGAATGAGACTACAGGATTCTGATTTAAAGTAATTATACAAACATAACTGATAAATAACAGTTCTGCTTTCAAGCAACTGAAAGCACACCTGAGTTTGAATTTCCTGTTCCTTTGTACGCTTAGTATTTGGGCAAAGAATATTTCATTGTTACGTGTTTGTATGGCCTTAACCAGCCAGCCAGGTCAAGGCAGGCACTACAAATGACAAAACCACAAAATTTTGTTTTGTTTTCTGGCTTTTTTATGTTGGGTTTTGGCGGTTTTGTTTTGTTTTTAATTACCAGAAGACTACGCTGCACAACAATTTCAATTCCATCTCCAAAGCATTCATGAGGCTATCACTTGGGATATGGATTAATGATGCAGGTTCACCTAAAACAATCACATAAATGTTTACTGACTGCTCAATAAAATGATTAGTACCAATCAGTAATGAGGTAATTACCAAGTGATTACCCTTTACCTATGAACTAAATGTCAATCCTCCCCTATGCAAACAACAAGATCAAGCAAAGTATTTTCCATAACAATTTACTGAAACACTACAGCAGGGATCAACTGAATTGTTTTCATCCCATTTCTATTTCAGTGCCCAAAGCAACTTTCAAACCTGAATAACATTTTAATTATCTTCAAGTTTACATGTACTGCATACACAGTTATGACAGAAGTGAGGTTATGACTTTTTTTGCAAGCTTATGTATTTTTTACTGAGGTAGAATTAAAGAAGCTAATCAGCTTTTGCCAAAGACTTGACCTAAAAATAAGAAGTCTTCTATTCCAGTTGTTATTAGAAAGCCTAAAAATTGCATCTTCAGCCTTTAGCAACAAATCCAGCACACTTCACTGATACAGCAAAACAAAACCACAATAAAAGTAGTGAGAAATAGACTGACAAGTATATTCTAAATCTGAAGAGCTCTACAGAAGGTTGATTATCTTTTCAGTTAAATAGCTTCTAGACATTTACTTCAGAAAAAGAAAAACTCACAACTTTGGATATAACTTTAGTACAAAATCTCACTTTAAAAAAAATGTCAGCCACATGTTCATTTTCTGTAAGTAAAAAACAAACAAAAACCCCAAACGAAAGCCACACGTTGCAGGACTAAGGACTGCCAGGAAACTGGCTTGAATACAAAACCAGATGGAACTGTAAGATCCTTTAAAAGTAAGAAGAAAAACCTTGTTTAGAGGTACAGAATGGCCTCCTATGGGAAAAATCATCCACTTAGGAGTTTGAAAGTAATACACACGTTCAGATAAAGTGACCCAATGCAACATGAATGAGGAGGGGATCCCTCTCTTCCTCCCCCTGCTCTCCTTTGTAAATCTGGTCTCATCTGAAGTATACATTTCCCACTACTTATATTAAAAAAAGAAGATTTTGGGTAATGATTTCTGTCTGGAAGAAGGCGGCCCCATAGTACTATGAATCACGATGTGGTCTAAGGATACAGGATCAGGCCTTGCTCGATTTTAAACCTGGTATTACCAGCCTCTGAAATGCCCTGGCCACATTACACAAAGCCCTGACCTTAGGTGAACTCCCTCTGCCAATTCACGCCCGTTAGGAGAACTCTGTGTACTAGTGTGCTTCACACCACCTGAGATATCATGTGTCCTATGACGGCTAGTATCGAAGTTGGCAGAAACACTGTAAAACAGCTAAGTTGGCAGAGGTGCGATCATACGCTCATACCCAACAGGCCAGCTCTCCATTGCTAACACAAAGAAACACACATTTTGTGGCATGGGAGGAAGGGGGAAAAGAACAGTCCATGTATCCATATACATTCTGCCAATACTGACTTAAGTACTGCATTTCAAAATGCTTCGTAGTATCGCTCCAGAGGAGCCTCAGCTTTTCAAAACCGCTTACCGTAACATATAGAGGCAACTTGAACTCACACACCTTCACCTAGTGATGCTTCTGTTAATAGTGGATAGGGATCCTGCAGACAAAACCCTGCTTATGCACCCGTCACCATGCCTTACCGTCCTCACGCTCCCCCGAGTCATGCACACCAACAGGACAAACAAAAAACTGTCTTCTCAGACAGAAATGCAGTTACAAAGGCCCTGAAAGACAGGCTGGAGCAGGTGGAGCACAAGAACTCTATTAAAGCTCAGTTAAAATCAACTAGATTTCAAGCTTGCATGATGTCTGGCACCTCTTTTGTTACACGTGTATTTACATCATACACTCCTTGAAACGTCAAAAAAATTATCACAATATCGACTTGAGTTTATTTACTCATTTAACTCTGGACACAGAAAAAAGAATAGCTTTATTCTGTCATTTAAACTACTGTTTTGCAGCTTTTCTAAGGCTAAATCCATGAAATCTTTTAAAATACAGTACTTTGGAGTAATTAAAGCATTACTATATTGGCTTTCAATATTTTCTGAAATTAAAAAATATCAATATGAAATTGGGCTCAAATTTAAATAGAACAGCAAAAACAATCCTTAAACTCCATTTTCTTACTGTAAAGTAGAAAAATAATTGCTCACATACGATACAATTCAGTACAGACACTGAAATTCCTGAAGAGATTTCAAAAGTTTGTTTAGAACTCCATCCACTATTAAGTACGCTTAAATATAACAGTTTCAGGGCTTAAGCCTGGTCACAACAAATTCCCCTTAGAAGCCCAACATGTAACTTATAAAAGCATTTTGATTTGCAAAGAGTCTGTTCTTTCAAACAAAAGCTTCCACTCTCCATTTATGCAAAATATGTAAAAACTGAAAACTTTATTTTGGGAAGACTTTCCCCTTGACAACCTGCCTCAAAGAGTCCTTTGAAGCCCTCATGTCTCATAGACCCCACTCCCAGATGCTCAAGAAAAGCTTTTCCTGCACCAGATTGAACAGCATGAATAAAGAGATTTGACATCTTGCAGATGGCCAGATTTCTATACAAACTCTGCCTATAAATCCAGGCATGGAAAAAATAGGATTCAAAAGCAATTAATGACTTAAAGAAGCAGACAACTTACACAGAGCAAAGAAAATAAGGAGGATGGCAGAAGCTCTGAAGAGGCTGAAGCAGCTTCCTGAATCACAGAGCAGAGTCACTAGCAAGCAGACTTAGGCTAGCAAAGCCACTGGACTTTTTCTTGGCTAAACAGATGAAAGACATCTCAAAGTATCTTCAGCTGCTCTCAAGACTGTAGAATTTTCTCCCAAGTCAGACAAATATTTAAAAGGAAGGAGATTTCAAACTGAAGCTACAAGGGACCGGAGCCAATTATATGATGTACAAGCTGTCAAACAAGAACCGATGCCACACAAACTCCATAGCTACTACCATATGTGCATCTGCAAGGTTCAGGCACCGTCTACGCAAGTTCAGGACGTTTGCCAACTTGTTAGCATCCAGGTTTTTCAACAAGTTAACCATGTTGCAATAAGACAAAAGAGAAGTGAAGATGTGTGTTATGGTCAAAGGGCAAAAAGTATTTCAGTGCTTTGCCACGTACTTTAAGTGAACAAGAAATCAGGGATTTAACTTTTACTAGCATAAAAAGAAGCTTTTTTTATTTTAAAGATAGTCTTCACTTATTATTCCAGGTCTATGTATGGGAAGAGAAGGAAAAAGGGACAAGAAACATGTTTTTACCTGTGTACACATGGGAGATAACTTCGATTTCTCATGCAAGCTACTATAAGATACCATTGTACAGCAATGAGACAGCATCTCATTTACCTGAAAACACCACACCAGCATTTAATCTAGTTATAAAACTCACAAATTTATTGTGAAGCTACTGAAAGGACAGAAATTTTACTCCCCCATTCCTTTTCAGTTCAATCTTTTTGTTTTGTTTTCTCTCACAGGCAGACTTGAAAAGCAGCGTTTTTACAGGAAAATAGCACATTTCTTTATATTTCTTAGTATGTTGGCACTTTAAGAGTTCTCTCTCCTTCAGCTGTCAAATCAAATAACAAAGAGGATGTAGACTATTAAACTGAAGTTAAAATTGAAATATTTCATTGTATGAAGTTAACAATCCAGAAGCTACTTCCAAAGACGTCAGATTTGCACCATAAGGAAACAAATATCAAAGTATAGGACAACATTGCACATACATAGCACAATGCTGGCAAAAGGAAGTGTCCCTGCAAAAGGAGAAAACTATTTTGAAATTACAGTTGTTCTTTCCCCACAGGATATAAGATATTGAAAGAACAAATTATTTTTAACTAGTTTGTATACACAAACCAGTTGTCAATTTGCTTTTGCAACGTATTTGGCCAAAACACAATCCAAATTATATTAAACCAGATAAACGGCTGTGCAGAGAGCCTCAAAAGGCTTTGAATGTGATGCAAGAGAAGCACACCTCCAGCATCCAGCAGGATATCAGGCCTTGACTTGCATGGACTTTATATGCTCTTGAAAGGAAGCCTTACTCCACAGCATAACCCTGTTGAAAGCAGAAAATTGGCCCCCCTCAGTGGGCTCAAGCTAAACCTCCCAGAATCCTCCAAACGCAAACTTGTGCTCTTCCAAATTCCAGCTACAGGACTATCCTGATCACTGAATAGCACATAGGAGCCCATGACAGGAATAAGCAGACACTTAGGGAACTTTTGCATGAAAGGTGAACATAACCTGAAAATCAAGACTGATATACGAAATTTTGGGGAAAAAAATTCTACTCTCTCCTCTGATCCCAAACAGATTAAGGACAGTAAGATACTGAGTCCTCTCCCCTCACCTTGTTTCAGTGGAAATAACTGACAAACCCTTAGATGTGAGGATCAAAGAATCAAGAAATACAAGTCTGGAAGGGATTTAGACGCTCTGCATATGCTTCAGATCCAAGGAAGTATCAGCTACAT